CCTGCAGCGTCGTTTGCATTATGAACAGTTACACTACGCATTGCCGGTCTACTGTACATTCATGCACACAAAACTAATGAAAGGACAAAATGATTGTATTTTGGTTAGGATACAGAAATTGAATTGCTTTGGAACTGCTCCTTGAGTCAAAATGTTGAAAACGACTCTATTGTAATTAATGTTGATAGAATAACATCATGTTCATCATAACTTTGAGAACAATCTTGTTTTTATTGAGCCTGCCAGGATACGGGTGGTTGTACATGTATAGTACATGATGTGGTGGTCGGTGTGGTGCGCCGCCCCGTAGACGATGGGCCGGTGAATTTGGTTGGGATGACGCAACGGTTAATGTCATGGGTACTTGGCAGACCGGAACAATGTATACTTTTAACAGCGTCATCTGCACAAAAGCATAGGGGCGATTTTTATTTGCACTTAAGCTCAACCGAAGTCTCCACCCTCGGCAGTGGCTCAGCTAAGGGGGAGGGGAGCGGATGACAAACACAAAAAAAAAAAAAAAAAAAATCGGAGTCCCCCCTGTCGCCCCTCCCCTGGAAATTTGGACATCGAAAAAAAGTCAAGCGAAACCATGATTAGCTGGTTTAAACTAATGTTGCCTTTTTTTTGCATTTAATATTATTTTTTTTGCGAAAATCCTGTTTTTCTCGTGATTGGCTGTATATTTTAACGTCCCGTGTAACCACGAAACTAATTTTGAGTAAGGATGGGGTATGACATCAAAACAATGTTTAATATGTTAGTACTGTTTTCCAAATTCATACTATAGGTTTTATTATCACCACGCAACCGTTTGGAAGAAATCTTATTTTCTTTTTATTGAGTGCTCAACCCGACAACTGTTGGGAATACCTTGTTCGGATTAATGTTTAAAGTTTGTTTTTTTTCAAAAATCGCTTGTAATTTGATACCTGATGGTTTCATCATAAACGTCAGAGTAATATGCACCGCTCGGGATGAGAGTCGATACATGTTGAAAGTTACACCATAAACCGTCTAGGAGAAAAGCCGCACAGAGGTGAGGCAATCAATGGCTTTAAATGGGAGCTATAGCTACCGGTCCCAATATTTGAGGGAGGGGGGGGGGGGGGACAGTACTACCGAAGTGGGCGCCCTTTAATATTACACGGTCCTGGGTTCCGTCACAAATGTTTATAATTCTATGGGTTCGTTTACCAAGTCAGGTTCTTGAATTGGAACAAAACGCCCTTTATCGGGACAATATCCGGCGGGCATGCTGCTGCGCGATGCAAAGGTCTTACGTCTATAGTAAATTACCCCGCTAAGAACGTCCTGGGAACAAGACTATTGAAGGGGCCACAGAACTCTATTAAGAGAACATAAAACAGGCCATTTTATCGTGCCGGCATAGGCAATTTTGTGTTCATTTACTGGCTATGTACGTTACCATGACTATAGAAATGTTCTTTAAAGCCATTTGCGCCGCTTGGTCCGGAGAATCCGGCAAGAAAACACGGGGCAAAGGGCGTTAATTCTGAGTGGGGGGGGGGGGGGGGGGGTAGGGGGGATATTTCCCACATGCTTGACTACGAGGAATATGGGCCATTGGATCATCTCCCAGGATTAGGTAAGAAACAGTTATTGCAGCCATTTCAAAAGAACGAGCTAGTAAAAATATGCCAGTAATTAATCAATTGTACCACTCCTTCTTGCAATTTGATTTATATGGCTGTATGAACAGCGCCACCTAGTGCCGAATAGTGTTCCCCCTCTTCCCTTAAATTTGCAACGTCCGGCCGTCTGGGTAATGTCAGGATTTAGAGGGCGTCATTTTCCATCGTCGACACGGATTCACGCCACTGGCGGTGGGTGGGAGGGGGTAGGGATCTCAGGGTCAAGGGGAACGGAAATAAAGAAAAGATCATAGAAATGTTACAAAACTCAGAATCTTGCGTCCGGGTGGGAATTGTTATTTTAAGTTAATCAATAAAGTCCAACAACTGTCCTAAAATAATATGTTCCGTTTTGGGTAAGATAGCTGAGGCTCCGTTTCAATGAGCAAAACTAACAGAGAAAATTTAATTACTACAATAGAATGAACGGATTGGCAAATTTGCAAATTCTCTGCTGATATTAAATTATATGTTTATTTTCTTCTTTGCAAAGTTTAACTAGCAAATAACGTCCTCGTGTTGTAATTATTCCTGAAAACGAGATGGATCAACAAATCTGGAGATATCTGTCAAACACTTTAAAACGTCACTGACAAAAAAAATCAGAGTTTACTTTTATGACGATAACACTCTGACAAGATGCTTAATAATAGCCGGGGTGTCATGGGGTAACATTTATCGTTTTAAGATCCAAAAGCCTGAAACATCCGTAAACCAAATTATAATTAAAAACTGAAAATGGATACAAATTGTAAGGTTCGCCAATTACATGTATTACACTAAATCATTTCATGTTGTACCACATCTTTAACAATGATTACTCATGTGGTTTTTTGATCAACTTTGGTTTTGCCTCCGAATTTCAGCTTTCTCAGGTTTTTAAATCACTGACTCTGGAGATTTTTGCTAGAATATGAGTAGATTTTTGTTTTCTCTACGGGTATATACAAAATTCTATTATATTAGGCCAAAGATGAGGTGTTTCCACATCCAGCCATTGAATGCCATTGAATGTTCCAATGTTAACTGGAGACTGGGAAACTCGTTTGGAAGAAAATTTGTTACATGATGTTTTACATGAGCTTTATTGAATGATTTTTTTTTCTTTCGTTTACTATCCTCGAGTGTCTTGGCCACTCATCTCAACGGAAATTCACTCATTAATTCACGGAGTAGTAATCGAGTCAGTCACAACGTCATCACAAGTAATCCAGTCTCAAGCCAAGTCACAAGCTAATGAGCCGTGACTGAAGGCATTCGTTTGACATTGTTTATCTTGTGTTACTTGTGATTTGACATGTGATTTGACTTGTGATTGGCTTGTGATTGGCTTGTGATTGATTTCTGATTGACATGTGAATGACTTGTGACTGACTTGCGATCGAATTGTAATTTACTAATTGTGATTGACTTGTGATATGACTTGAGATTAACTAGTGACTGACTTGTGACTGACTTGTGAGTGACTCGTGATTTGACTTGTGATGGACTTATGATTGACAAAAATTACACACGTAGTTCTGGAGGTATCCCTCCCTCGCCATGTCCAAGTACCGAGATACTCGTAAACTGAGTCCAATAATGATTACTGGAATCGAAAGTGCATGGCTTTCTCGGAAATGTTCCTTCCAATGGAACAGTTTTCGTTCTCTGTTACAACCCAAATATCATTTGCTTTTAACATTACGGTATAAAAAACCGTAGTTATAAAAACCATAAACACAAGTTACTAATCACATTTATTTACAATTTCAATATTCTCACTTTAAATTCTTCTTTGTGATGGAACTTGATATTCAATTTTTCAAAAATAAAAACATACATAATATTACATACACAGTTGTATACATAACTATAACCTTAATACCATTGATACATATTAATTGTATCATACAGTTACACTTGCAATACAACTACTTCAAGGCACGCAGTGATATTATACTTATACCACAAAATACAGGCAGACAATATTCGAAAGAGAAATTAACAACAGAACAGTAATTGTTTACACTTCTGCACTTATTGAAGAGGGTCATCCAATTACGGGCATAATCAAAGGAGGCTCTGTATCCAGGATAATACATCAGAAAGTGACAATGTTACTTCAGTTTTGCCTCTTTTTCAATGTCAGATCGAATCTGTATATTCATCCAAGCTCACGTCGGGTGTGGTTTTGCTTGTGGGTTTCTATCTTCCAAAAGCTGACACTATTCAGCTAGGGTCAGCTGGCCGCAAGTTGGACTGTATTCTCGTCAGGTTTGACCAGAACATTTTCAGAGTGTAAACAAAGTGTGACGTCATGTCGCGTTTATTTTGCAATAATCATTGCAGATCTGTGCCAGTTATACCTTTTGGCCAAAGCAAACCTCGCCCCCCCAAAAAAAAACACACAAAAAAAACAAAGAAAAAAAGAAAGAAAGAGGAATTCATAACTGCCTGCTGTCAAAAGCTACAATAAAGATGGAACATTTTTTTGCAGAAAGCTCAATATTTGATTACACTGCGAGGGTTTGAATTCTTGACTTCTTGAAACTTTCAAGGTAATTCTAATTCTTGCAACTGTATGTAATTCGTACTTCTAATAGGCCCTACTTGGTATTGTAATCGCCAATCTGTTTGAGTAATAATAGATGCAACGCTTGCTTCCTGCACCTGCAGGCAAATGTAAGATGAATAAGAACTTTTTATGAGAGAATTTGCTCCGAGGAAAGCGGTCCACGTTACGTGATCAAAAACTTGTTGTTTGACATGACAAGCGGCCAAAATTGAAGAAGGGAAAATGAATGGATGGACAACGAAGCAGTAAATTTGATATACTGATGCTATAATTCAAAGTTGTGAATCGTTCGACTTGAGCGGCTGCTTGGTTTGAGTACGGTTACAGAATTGTCAGGGCAGCTATTTGTGGCATCGGCATGATAAAAATTGCCCAATTGAATGCGGAAACGTCCTCGATTTCGATGGCCAAACGAGCCGGACGGCAACGCTCTTATTTTTCATGATATTTTGTGGGAGGAAAATGATTTCATATATCAACTCAAACCCATTCCACATTATGCTTTGAGATTTCTTGCATTGATTTGTTTTTACTTAGACATTCTCGCCTTTTGTATGCACTATGTATTTGTAGTTATTTTGTATGAAATCTTGAAAGTCACTGATATTGTAAGACAACCATGTCGGTAAAATGTCATTATGCGGAAGTCATTTTCCTAACGTTCATTGCCGACGCAAAGTCTCTAGATAACGTCATCGCTCAGTGTAGTAATGTAAACGCACAATGCGCGCGGCAGACACTCCTAATACTGTCAACTGCTGCATCTACTGAGCCCATTATGGCCGAAATTAAAATTCCACTTCCAAGTTGGTCATTTGACTCAGTGCTTCGGTGATTTGTGTCTTATCGTCAGCGATCATGTCGCAGCGTACCAAAGCAAGCTTTCGAAGATGCTTGATTTTTGCCAGGACAGACCATGAACGACCTGACCCAGCAAGGGACTCATTGCCAGACAGATGCAATTCAACAAGGTTGGGAAGATTACTCAGCCCAATCGCAATGGGCTCCAAGTCATCACGTTTTAATCTACAGCTTCCCAGGTTTAGTTTGTTGAGGGTTTTGATTCCCCTTAAGCGAGACCATGGCCGGCCAGACCCAGCAAGGGTCTCATTGCCATGCAGATCCAATTCAACAAGGTTGGGCAGATTACTCAGCCCAGTTGCAATGGGTTCCAAGTCATCACTTTTTAATCTACAGCTTCCCAGGCTTAGTTTGTTGAGGGTTTTGATTCCCCTTAAGCGAGACCATGCCCGACCAGACCCAGCAAGGGTCTCATTGTGAGACAGATCCAATTCAACAAGGTTGGGCAGATTACTCAGCCCAATTGCAATGGGCTCCAAGTCATCACTTTTTAATCTACAGCTTCCTAGGTTTAGTTTGTTGAGGGTTTTGATTCCCCTTAAGCGAGACCATGGCCGGCCAGACCCAGCAAGGGTCTCATTGCCATGCAGATCCAATTCAACAAGGTTGGGCAGATTACTCAGCCCAGTTGCAATGGGTTCCAAGTCATCACTTTTTAATCTACAGCTTCCCAGGCTTAGTTTGTTGAGGGTTTTGATTCCCCTTAAGCGAGACCATGCCCGACCAGACCCAGCAAGGGTCTCATTGTGAGACAGATCCAATTCAACAAGGTTGGGCAGATTACTCAGCCCAATTGCAATGGGCTCCAAGTCATCACTTTTTAATCTACAGCTTCCCAGGCTTAGTTTGTTGAGGGTTTTGATTCCCCTTAAGCGAGACCATGGCCGACCAGACCCAGCAAGGGTCTCATTGCCATGCAGATCCAATTCAACAAGGTTGGGAAGATTACTCAGCCCAATCGCAATGGGCTCCAAGTCATCACGTTTAAATCTACAGCTTCCCAGGTTTAGTTTGTTGAGGGTTTTGATTCCCCTTAAGCGAGACCATGGCCGACCAGACCCAGCAAGGGTCTCATTGCCATGCAGATCCAATTCAACAAGGTTGGGCAGATTACTCAGCCCAGTTGCAATGGGTTCCAAGTCATCACTTTTTAATCTACAGCTTCCCAGGCTTAGTTTGTTGAGGGTTTTGATTCCCCTTAAGCGAGACCATGCCCGACCAGACCCAGCAAGGGTCTCATTGTGAGACAGATCCAATTCAACAAGGTTGGGCAGATTACTCAGCCCAATTGCAATGGGCTCCAAGTCATCACTTTTTAATCTACAGCTTCCTAGGTTTAGTTTGTTGAGGGTTTTGATTTCCCCCAAGTGAAACCATGATCGACCTGACCCAGCAAGGGTCTCATTGTGAGACAGATCCAATTCAACAAGGTTGGGCAGATTACTCAGCCCAATTGCAATGGGCTCCAAGTCATCACTTTTTAATCTGCAGAATCCCAGGATTAGTTTGTTGAGGGTTTTGATTTCCCCCAAGTGAAACCATGATCGACCTGACCCAGCAAGGGTCGTATTGAGAGACAGATTCAATTCAACAAGGTTGGGCAGATTACTCAGCCCAACGGCAATGGGCTCCAAGTCATCACTTCCCAATCCGCAGAGATCCAGGTTCAGATTGTTGAGAGTTTTGATTTCCCTCAAGTGAGACCATGCCTGACCAGACCCATCAAGGGTCCTATTGTCATGCAAATGCAATTCAACAAAGTTTGGCAGATTACTCAGCGCCTTGGCAATGGGCTCCAAGTCATCACTTTTCAAATAGCAGTGATTCAGGTTCAGATTGTTGAGGGTTTTGATTCCCCTCAAGTGAGACCATGAACGACCAGAGCCAGCAAGGGAGCGATTGCCACACAAACGCAATTCGACAAGTTTGGGCAGATTACTCAGCGCCTCGGCAATGGGCTCCAAGTCACCACTTTTCAATGAGCATTCATTCAGTTCCAGTTTGTTGAGGGTTTTGATTTCCCTCAAGTGAGACCATGACCAACCTGACCCAGCAAGGGTCTCATTGCCAGACAGATCCAATTCAACAAGGTTGGGCAGATTACTCAGCCCAACGGCAAGGGGCTCCAAGTCATCACTTCCCAATCCGCAGAACTGCAGTTTCAGTTTGTTGAGGGTTTTGATTTCCCTCAGGTGAGACCATGCCTGACCCAGACCTGACCCAGCAAGGGTCCTATTGGCAGACAGATCCAATTCAAGAAGGTTTGGCAGATTACTCAGTTCCCCAATAATGTGCTCCATGTTAATACTCCTCATCGGGACGCATCCGCTCAAACACACGGTGTTAAGCTGCGTCATTTCTTTCAAGCATAGAGAGGAAATTAAATGTGACCAGTCGTTCTGAGATAGCTTTGAATTAATAAATACACCAGCTTCATCTAATCTTTGACCGTTTGTTTTTGCCATTGACAATGTGTGTATCCTTTTGAGGCAAGCTTTCCCTCCACCCTTTTTCTCGTCAGTAACGTTTTTTAGGAAGTATATCAACGATGTCAAATGATCATCGCTTAAATAATAAAGTACCTTGACATTTGGAGCAATAACAGAGTTAATTAACTCCATTGGTGGCAAAGTCAGGCTCTGGCTCTCAAAGTTACAATTCAGGGCTATTTGTAAGTTTTTATCATCCAGATCTCCTGCACATCCGACTTTATGCAATAAAATATTCAAAATTAAATTTGTACTTGGCCCATCGCTGTCACCGCAACAAAAAGGCAGAAGATATTCAAACCCTGCTGTATCAGACACTTCACGAAAGAACGTCTCAAATTGCCGTCTTTCTCCTTCGGATGTTAAACTTTTGTAGTAAATCGCAGCGCAAAATTCTTGGAACGTCTTATGAATGAAATGAACACTTTTAAAAGTGTCTATCCCATTCACGACTCGCTCACTGGTGAGGATGCCAGCTCGTATGGCCATATCAAGCACACCCAGCTCAAAATCCTCCTCTTGAAATGATAGCTTTTGATCAGACGAAAGTAAACCACCCAAAGCAACCTTTCCAAGTGTAATAATAAGCCTCGATATTTCTCCTGTTGACATTTGTGTCTTACGTTTAAATATGTAATGCAGTGCCTTGTGATACAGGCGGAACCTAGTGTCGGGGAGTGTAACACTCTTTCTCCATAACAAACACATCAACAACAACAACATGGGACTTTTCGCCAAATCTGACAGAACACCTGATGAAGTAATCCTCTCAAGAAGTCCATTAGCTTTGGGTAGTTCTTGTGAGTAAAATTTGTCCACATATTCCTTAATATCGTCCTTGCTAAACCCCAACACATTCACAAGAGCAAACGGATGTTCAATCAAGGTATTCTTTACCAGTTTGTCATAGTGTGAGGGGCGGGTTGTCACAAATACAGTGCATTTTTCGTACTCTCCCTTTCGATTAAGCATATTAAGGATCGAACCAAACTCAGTCTCATCAAGTTCGGTGGACTTAAATTCATCAAAACCATCCAACAGAAACAGCACGTCCTCAGGGTTGGCTGTAATGAAGGATTTCAAGTCTTTCCTATTTATGGCATTTTTGTTTGGTAACTGATCAAACAAAGCGTCAATCACATCCGACTTTTGTTGCAGGGATCGCATTTTCAACACAAAAACAAGCTTATACCTGTTTAGTACGTCAACAGTGCCACAAGCCCAATCGTAAGCAATTTTGTCAATAAGAGTGGTTTTACCTACACCAGCAGTTCCTCTTAAAATTGCTCGTATAACTGGATGTCCCTCTCTTGATTTGAGTTTAAAAATATCCAAATACGATTTTACCTCTACCTTCAAATCTTTATCATCCGTTTTTTCTAATTGTAACTTTGTGTAGATGTCCATAATATGTCTTTTGTCGTCATCGATCCATGGAAGCATCTGCACATAGCTACCCGTCGTCGTATATTTATATTTTAACTCCTTTTCGCACTTATCCGCAGCAAGTTGAGCTGGATCATCACGAGTCTCCTGTGTGGTACTGCTTCCTGGCTGTTGTTGCCTTGCACTTGACCCACTCGTTTCTGATGTGAAGAGTAATGCAACACAGTTTGAAACAAATCATGTCAGTCAATCAAAGCGAGAGTTGGGTTCGAATTTCGTTGTTGTTTTTTTTTTCATTCGCTGAAAAGAATTCGAAAAACCCAGGCTGTATTCGGATTCTTCTCAAATAATGAGTTTGGTGTTAATTCGTCATGCTAATTCACAACCAGGAGAAAACTAAACTGTAATGGTACCTATTTTTGGGAATCAACAATCTCGCATTTTCTCAAAGCTAACTGTTAAAGAGCTTGTAACTATAAAAGGAAAATTAGTTGCTTGCAACAATTCATACAACCTCTTAACCAAATTAATCTCATCACTTTTCTGTTCATAGAAGAAAAATATCCTTCTGATAAAAATGCATTACGCTTACTGATAGGCGCATTCTTATTATTATAGATGCATGGTGCGAATTTCAAAGGAAAGTTCTCAAGAAGTGGTCTGTGCGTGGATTTACCTGCCAAAGCAGTAAGCATGCTTGGTGGTATCTCTTGTTCACTGTCGTCTCCCTGTCTCTGTGAGTGACGACGTCGCTCTAAAAATAAAACGAAGAGATTAATCTTTGATTGACGTCAAATTGATGATTTGCTACACTAATGATTATTGAACTTTCTCATTCGGGCAACTTTATTCTTTGTTGTTCCATATGTTATAAGACATAGTGACGGATAGAAAATCGTACCGTCTGTCCTCCGCTTTCGACATCTACTAATGACATTAGGTCGTATAAATTAATTTATAAAAGTATTTATTCGCATCTGTATGAATATAAGGAAGAAGACGCTTTTGCTGAAACGCATTTGCTAAAATCTGAAAGTATTTAATTTTTACATGTTTAGCTTTTTCTAGACTAAAGGCGTTTGCTTTGTTTTGTATTCATAAAAAAAGAGTAAATGGGTCGGATTTGAATTATTTACTGGGCATTTTTGAAGGATGTGTTGGTGCTACCTTGAAAATTTAATTAAAGTTGATCTCGTAAACTTATGCTTAAAAGTTCATAAAGTACATATTATACCATACACTAATATTTCCAATCAGATTTACGCGAAATGTATAAACCTTTTTATAATTAATTTCATAGCTATAACAAGCCAATAATTTCGCACTTTATACACGATTTGCGAAGCGTTAACTGTTAAATTTCGATACAGCACGTAAGGATTTAGGAGAAATTGTATCCAACGGCATTCTGGGAAATGAACAAAATAAAATACTCATCCAGTATATTCGGTAATAACGGTTACCGAATCTTTTCAAACGTTAAATCTTTTCAAACGTTTGGGGTTTTTTCTCCGCATTTCATTTAAAAAAAACACTTTGTATTTTGAATTTTGTAAGATTTTTAATGACAGATAACTGAGGAACGTGCATCCCAGTTAAAGTACACACATTCAAGCATAATTAGTATAAAGGTAAAGTGCCTCATTAATAAAAAAAAAAACAATACAAAAAAAGTAAAAGCCGAAAACGGTGAAACAGAATGCCACATTTTTTTGCCACTGTTTTTTGTTCGATAGAATGGACGACAGAAGTGGAATTCCTTGAATTATGACTTCGGCACAATAATTATGTCTCCGTGAGAAAAGTGATTTTTTTTCGCTATTCGACGAACTCATTTCTGTTTAACATAACTTATACGTTTTGCCATATTGTCGTGATAAATCTCATTAATTTTACCTGGGTTGCTTGAGTCCATATTTTTCAGAGCCTTTTCCAACGTCCCCTTTGCTTGTGTCTCACTTTTCTGCCTTCTGCACCAGGTGGTTAGCATCTCAAAGCACTGCTTTACAACACTGCATCGGTAATCATACTGTATTATTTCAATTTGCTCAGCTGTAAATGCCAATTGTGTAGCCAATGCTACCCAACGAACTCCTATCTCCTCAGATTTGTTCCAGCAGAACAAATCGCAAGATTCTGCGAATAAATAAGTAAGGTGCATCACAATTTTTTGTGCAACAGGATCTAGTTTTTAGGAAACGGGGGCGACATGAAGGGGGTATGAAATCTACGATGCTTTCTCCCGCAAAAGGCAATCTGAGAAAACATTTAGGAAGCTATACTTCCGATGTTTTATTTTGGGCCACAATTTACAAGCAACATAACATTAAACAGAGGCTGAACGGGGTTGCACCCCCACCCCTAAATTCACTACTGCCCACACATTCGATACTGAGATCATGATGACTGTCGTAACTCATAGATTCATTAAAGGCCCACGACGAGAGCGCGTCACTTTGTTGGGTCTCAGACTAGTGTTCGCTATGAATTACGTCCCTGCCTGATTTATAATTATACAATGGAGGACAAAAAGTGGCCATTTGCTTTCTGTTTTCAGAGGACCATGCCGATCGAACATTTGGTTACGACCATTGTTCTGCACTTCTGCTTTTCAAGTTGCTAAAAGAAGGTTCAACACAATTTACCAAGGTCCATATTATATAGACAATGAAAGATCCCGGTTTTTTAATGGAAGTATATTGGATGTCGAGTATGACATGTATGAGGCAGTCACTTACAAACCGGATATGCCTACGTTATTGAAGATCACCTTTGTGAATTGATTGCTGAGAATGATGTATGCTCCTGTTATGTTACAAATTGTTACTTTTACACGCAATGGACCTTATTCACAAGGAAGCCAATTTCGGTCGCGTTCCCTGCATGCATTTCATAAATTGGGAACAGTTGAAAAGGGATGGTGCCAGACTATTAAGCAGTCTCGCCTCACTTTCATTTTTTTAATGGCTTAAAACATGAGAGTATGTTTAATCACAATTATTCATTAGAGCAGACCGGTATAAATTTTCAATTAACTTTATGTCATTGGTTTCATTTCTATTCGCAAGTTCCAAAATTGAAGATTTTACTTTGCTTTCAATTCAATATGGCCGACTCGTGAATAACGCCCATACGAGAGTTGAGCGTGCGTATCTGCTCTTTTAGTCATTTCTTGGGAATATTAAAGGGTCCGTGCGATGCAGATTTCAGAGGAACACATTTGGTGCACATTTCCACTCTTAAATGTATAAAAGTAATTTGACACCCCTTTTTGGTTAAATTGTAAGGGTGCACTAATTTTTCAACATTTAAAAATGTCCATGCTTCTCCGGACACCAAAATACTTACATTAAATCATTAAACGAAAGTAAAAAATTAACAAGGTTAAATGGGACACAAACGTGCATTTTCAAGGACAGCATTCAGAAATTACATTGCACGAGCCCTTTAAAGCGCAATAAATGTAAGTGTCTGATTTGCAGAAATGTCTTCAGTTACTACATGGGCATACCTGATGTGTCTCGAACCAAGTCGTTCCTGCCCGAATCAATCAGAGCCTTCTTCAACGTCTGTCTTGCTTCTGGGTACTTGTCCTGCTTTCTCCACCATGTGCTTAACATCTCAAAGCACTGCCTTACAGTATCGTTGGAATGATTAGCCTTAATAGTATCAATGTTTACTTTTGAAAATTTCAAGATTAAGGCCAATTTTTCCCAGTCTGTTCCAAATTTGACGGATAGATTCCAAGCGGAAATGGTCTCAGGTTTAGTATCTATAAATGAATAAAATATAATCGCACCATTAATAAATCGCGAACAGTTTATTTGTTGTAATGTATACATTGGGAACGACAAAATGTTACAGCATAGTCAAATTTCATAATGCGCATGAGTCAGTTGGAAACGGAGGGGCTGTCGGACTTCACCTTTCTTTTCCATTCAATGTCTCTGATAAAAAAAAAGGTGTAATTTGTTATCGATCAGAAGGACTTGATAATTCACAATTCAAAAGCGAAAATTCATTTTGGGGACAAAAAGAAAAATGTAAAACATTCTGGACAAATTGAAACATTGCGATCACTGATGCCATGGGGTTGGCCGTGGAACCTGATACAACAATATATTAAGTTATTTCCAATCCCGACATATTAATTCAATCGCCTGATTTGTGCAGGCAGGCCTTCGAATTTTGCTAGCCCATAGAAGATAAATGTGTTTCCCGCCACTTGTACAGTCTCGATAATGAAGGCACCGGGAACTAGTCTACACGCTGAAAAGATATGGTCACGCGCAAAATATACCCAGAATTAGAGGTTAACAACCGCAGAACTTTGAAATAAAGGAGTTATATCTGTCATATATAACATTTAATAGTTGAAAGCTTGTTGTGAGAAAAGAGAAAAATTGAAAAACATTAACAGTACATCTTTGACATAAGTTAATACTTTATAATACAGAGAGAAAACAGCAAACATTTGAAAATAGAAGGCAAGAGAACGTACGGCATATTGTATTCTTTATTGGATTGCAATTACTTACCGGAATAGCATTCTGTCTCAGTCACCCCCACTGGAGCCTCGGGTTTAGATTTGGCTAGATGACCAACGTCCTCCTTTCTCGGTCTCTGCCCCTCAGATGTCGTAGTCTCTTCCTGCATGCTCCGTTCTGTGGCCCCTTCCACTTGTACCTCTGGTTGCAGTTTGTCTCGATGACCAACGTCCTCCTGTCTCGGTCTCTGCCCCTCAGATGTCGTAGTCTCTTCCTGCATGCTCCGTTCTTTGGCCCCTCCCACTTGTACCTCTGGTTGAGCTTCGTCTTGATGACCAACGTCCTCCTGTCTCGGTCTCTGCCCCTCAGGTATCGTAGTCTCTTCCTGCATGCTCCATTCTGTGGCCCCTTCCACTTGTACCTCCTGTTTCATCCTCTGTTGCTCTTCTGATGGGATCATCGGGGCCAGTTCAGCACGCCCGATTGAATTTAACGCGTCTCTCAAACTCTGAAATCCTTCCTCGCGATTTGTTTGCTTTCCCCACCAAGAAAGCAGCATCTGTAGGCTCCTTTCTGTGTTTTCTTGGGAGATGGTTTGGAATTGCTTAATTGCTGCATCTTCATATCTCAGGGATTTGGCCAATTCTTCCCAGCATGATTCAGTTTTCGAAGCCAAGTCCCGGAAGAATTGATCATCAGCAAGGTGTTTGTCTGACAAACGAAAAGAAGCCTTTTTACTTAGACCTAAAGACGTATATAATGAGTATGTGATTGATAGCTGCCATTTCCTAATGAAGGCAATGAACTCTACACTTTAGTTGAAGTAAAAGCAAATATTAATGTGATTTCTGCTGACGGTTTAAATATCTGATTTACTTTCTATTTTTGGTTTATCTCTTATAAAGTGGGTAGCAAATGCTGGGAAATGGTGAGAAATTACAGCGGAGGAGGCGGTACAGCATATTAATTTATCTCGCTCTTTAACTACAAGTGCTTGCACCACTGCTACTCACCATGTTGACAAAAAATAAAGAATAGAGCGTCGATCATATTTTCATAACTGCACTTTCCAGGAGGCATTTGGAAAAGTTGCCGATGCCGTTTGTTTTTCTGTGACATGAATCTAGTTAGAGAGAGTTAGCTATAATAATAAGGCCCGTAGGTTTTTCCCAGTCTAGAAACATTTCCCATGAGCATTTACCTTTTGGTCCACCGCCCAGTAGGCCATCAGTAGACAGACGGAGTGAGATGTTCTCATCCTGATGAATTCCACAATCTTGAAGTGTCAGCAAGTTACAAAGCTGGCAAAAAATACACAGTCTTTGGAACCAATGTTTTTAAAACGACACTTTGGTGGTTGGGATTACAAAAAACGGGTAAAAAAAATATCAAGGATAAACTTGACTTTCTTATTGTGAAACTAATTCATTGGGGCTAAAACAAACAACTAATTGTTGATTGTTTCCACTCAGCTGCTAAAAAAACACTCTATGTACTGACTTCAGAAGCAGCACTATCTAATATACCCAAACCCTCATGTTATTTTGAAACAGAAGAAATTGTGACTAAAACCCACTATGCATTGCCTTTAATTTGATCAAAGATTGATTGATATACTTTACGACATGTTTAATTTGTAAACTATGGAGCTATCTTTACCTCAAAGTTACGAAAGTTCCTTCGGATGTACAGTCGTTGTTGTTGAGGCTGGACACTGATTTTCTCGTTTATCATATGCTTCAAGGTAAAGACAGAAGTCTCTGCATTCATTCGAAAACAAAGTGTCTTTGCTTTGTGTGACACGTGGCATTGGATGAAGACTTGCACGTATCTGAAACTGTCAGAAAGGAGGATTTGCATGTAAGGCCCTTTGAATAATTTCAATCGCATTGAATTATATGAATGAAGGTAAAGATCATAAACCATAATTGTACACATTATCTACACCATTGTTTAGGTATGAAAAGACTGTTTTCCAAGGAATTTTAGCTGTCTTCAAAACAACATTTGATGCTGAGTAAATTCTTCAAACACGGGGCAGTACGAATAACAGCATTTCATCATGTTTTACCTGAAAGGCCGAGGTTTGTCTTGATTGCCAACTTGTTCCTTTTTCAGTTTCTCTTCCTCGGTTGATGCCGCCCCGTTTTGTTTGCTCTCCTCGTCTTCTCCTGCCTCTTGACGCTTTTCTGGCTCGGGTCCAGCTGCTTCGTCTATCGAATAGCCCGTTACTGATGCAAGTAAGAATCAGAGTGCATCATAATTATTGTTTCCAAATAGATTTTTAACTGATTTCGCACTTTTCTTTTAATTAGCAAGGCAGTTTTTGTTCTGACAATACAGCGTCTGATATAAAGTCTAGTCTTCACTTCTAGCTCACCTGGTACATTTTGGTCCAAATCAGTCAACCCGATGGCCTCCAGTGCTCGTCTAAGCTTCTGAGCTGCTTCGTCGCGATCTGTCGTCTTTTCCCACCAAGTGAGCAGCATGTGACGGCTCTCTTCAGTGCTGCCTTCGTTGGTGGTTTGGATTGCTGCAATTTCCGCTTCTTCAAATCCTAGGTGTTTGGCCAGTTCCTTCCATGATGATTCGATTTTTGAGGACAAGTCCTGTAGGTACTCATCATCAATGGCGGCTTTCTCTGCCAAAAAGAATTTTCAACTAAACCTTCAGTGAAACATTTTCAACAGCTGCAACAACAAAGGCTATCGTTCTTTATAAACGGCTTAGTAAAGATTCCAAAATCTCAATAGGAGGTAGTTTATTCATTTAAACATGTTCTATTCCAGAACTTGGTAATTTACCTTTTGGTACATCGTCGCAATTCTCATCGTCTTCAGATAGACGGAGAGAGATGATTTCATCCTTGTCGACACAATTCTCCTCAAGGGTGAGTAAGTCAAAGAGCTGATAGTAGATAATTGTAAAAGTAAATGACTTTGTTTAAACGACTACTAAATTTACCTTCGAAACATATTATTGAAAAAAAAGAAAGCGTTAGTGTGGCAAAGGTCAAGTTTATCTTGTAAACGTTCATGTATTTATAGTGTTGGAATAGGAGTAGCCCCCATTAGCAAAAAGAAAAACATTTTTGTTTTAGTTTAGATTCCCCCTTTCTTAGTAGTGTGTCCCCCTGTTGAAATAAAAGTTCCCATGTCTCTGCTTGAGTTTTGTCTGCTCGGAGTCATTTGGTGAGTTTTCTTAGGTCATAAATGTTTCCTCTGTTTATCATGTGCAATTAATTTTTTTATAATTTAATTTATGTTTTTCATTTGGAAATATTTCAGGTTTTATAATAAGAGTAAAGTTGAATCAGTCACTTTAATCTTTGATTGTACCGTAAGGTTGACCTTTGACTTGGATTTGGGATTTTTTAATATTTTCCTTTTGACATATTGTAAGCATTACATGTATCAAATGTTGTTGAATTCTCCACCATATACGTTAATACACAGGAGTTTCTTTGTTCCCACAGTAAGCATGCATGGATGTATGATGTGCTAATCCGGAAACTAGGGGATTAGTGTCTTTCACTTATTTTGTACTTGAACTTGCGTATCTGTTAATGAATATTCATTAAATCGTTTTCTTATTTATGTATTTTGTATTTTCTTATTTACAGATTTTCAGTCAAAGCGTTCTTTAAAGGGAAAATACAACATTTGCACACATCAAAAAATAAAACTACCAAATCATTTTGAAATACCTTGCTGGACTGTGAATGAAAGCGTAAAGCATCCTGTAAAATCATGGCACCTGGTATACTGTCATTTTCAAGAAAAGTGGTATTTTTGTATCAATTTCCAACGCTGATCGGCCGATCAGCGTTGGAAAAAAAACTGGCTTTTTTTTCAAATACTGGCCCCTGTTGACCATCGCAGTTGACCATCGCAGGAGTTCCAGGATCCATGATGTGGTGTGTCATGGCAACTCAGCCAGAGTTTGAGCTATACTTGAGCATCCTGATAGATTCGGTGTCTGTGTCTCTATTAATTCAATTTTCTCGCGACCGTTCCCTTCAAAGATCCTGAGTTTAGTTTAGTTTGGTTTAGTTTAGTTTAGTTTAGTTTAGTTTAGTTAAGAGTCTATTTAGTACGAGTTCCCCCATAGTGTGTCATTTTTCCAGGTTACATTTGCTTTCCCATTGTCAAAATGCAACTATGCGCAAACTTCGTATCTTTCAAATTTAATTGTATGATGAATTTAAAACATACCCACCTGAAAGTTTCGCCGGATGTACAGACACTGACGCCGCGCCTCGACACCAATCTGCTTTTCAATGAGTTCTTTTAGCGATTGGACGGATGTCTCCGGATCCAGTTGGAAGCTAAGCGTCTGTGGTGCATCATCGTTGGCATTTTCGGGAGTCTGGACAGAGATGTTCAACTTCTGTTTCGGGTTACTGATGACACTGTCAACAAAAAGATTGCAATAACAGAAACAACAAGGTTCGGAATTTGGTTTCAGCAAAACAGAATATAATGAAAGTAGTTTTTAGCCACAAAGGTCCAGTGTAACAAGGTGATTTTATTTCAACCAAAATTATTCTCGAAATAAAGATATACACAAGTTCATGTTCATGTTGCATTAACATTTCTGTGTTGACTTTAACTTGGAAGTTGAGGGAAAATTTCCTTTGCTCGCCACGCCCCACCATTTCTATTAATTTTTTTTAACCTTCCGAAAAAAAAGCTTTTTCAGTAACGATAATTAAATGTCTGCATGCGAATAAAAGGCATTGAAAATGTACAGGGGTAAAGATATTTGGGTCCTTTTCTGTGGATTCCTCCCGGATTTTTCGCTTGATTTCTTTAGAAAAGTTCCTTAAATCGTCATAGGTAATACTGTTCATCCTAATCGCGTTTTCTTTCTTGATGCACAAAATAAAGACTTACAAAATGTTGCTTACGTCCCGTGCAATGGGGTCGAAGGAAATTAGCAGGGTTCCTTTCCCCACGAGTGAAACAAAATACCTGTGCGATTTGGGTTATTATCAACCAAATCGCCGGGCTAAATCGCGTCACCGCGATTTGGCCCGTTATTTGGTGGATGGTACCCCGAAACACACAGTCCGCACTCGTGCAGAGGCTACTGATTTCCTTTGCCCTTACGCACGGGACGAAAGCGATTTTTTTCTTATCATTTTTTTGGGCCTCAAAAACTTAAAGCCATAAAGTAAGAAGGGGGGGGGGGATCCTGAGCATGAGAGAAATATGACCCGAATGTGACCCGAGCTAGTGAATCTTAGTCAGAGTCCAACTGTATATGTGTTTTTGATGGTTGTTTCAAGCCAGAAACAATCCAAATCCCCTGCCTTTATTTGGCAGCAAAGTGTTGTTTGTATCAATACATTTATATAAATCATGTGTTCATGTGGAATGGAAACGAGAATTGCATCCATATGTTGTCGGTCAAGTTTTAAAAAAAAATCAGACAAAGTTATTTATCGTTTTTATTTTATCAGAAAACATCAAGGATCATAAGTTCGCTCTGACTGTGAACAAGATACTTTGTAGCATTTAAGCAGAGAAGGGTGTTTTTTTTGTATTTGCGTTTACGTGCATAATCATTTAGCAAAGAACAATTTTAGGCTCTGTTATGATTGTAAAAGATGACATGCTGAATGCAACCTCGTGGCAATGAAAATTGGCTGTAAAACCACCACAACATGAAAACAAACTTGAAAATTTAGTTTTCAAAAGAAATTGTACTTGAAATGTATTGTAACCGTATATTAGAAAGCCTATCAGCGGTCACTTCGTGTATTGATGAGACCAAGGGCGGCGAAACGCTTTTCAAACTGAGGGGCAACACCAAAAAGGGGCACTTGCTAAAAAGGGGCACCTTCCGTCTTTATGAAAGTGGAGGAAAAGAATATGGTCCCATTCATTTCGCTATAAACCAATCTGACGAGGAACGAATTATGAATACGTTGCCCATCTTTCTCTTTGTGTTTCTTTTACCTGGTTATGTAGAGAGAGCATTAACCATTTATTTCAGTAGCCATTTTATTCGCGTGAAGAGCACTATTATTTTTAGGGGCCAGTTTTCCATCTTTTAATGTTCCGAGCGGGACCCCAATTGTGCTTTCAAGGGGCAGTTTTCCATCTCGAGAAGTTATCGCTAGAGGAGCACTTGTTTTTGATGGCCAAATGTCCATCTCGAGAGTAGCACATTGTATTATTGCGAGAGGGTTATTTTGTGTTTTCGAGGGGTAGTTTTTCATCGGGGTACTTGTGGTTTTGACATTTTTTTTTAAAGGGAAATAAAGTCCGAAATTGTAAAACGATCTGATTCCAGTGATAGCGCAAAACCAGGCTATGATAAAAATTTAACAAAGTCACTGCGAATGTTCAATGCATGCCTATGGCAAATAATGATCGTTTATTTACTCAAACAAAACCGGATCCGTCTAAAATACACACTGCCTATATTTTACGAAATCTCTCACCTTTTTTTCGCAGGTTTACTTCTTGGTTTCCGGGTAATCAATGATGACGATGTCTTTCTCTCATGGGAGTGGTGATGAGACGACGGTTTCCTGTATGGAAGCACAGAAAGAAACGCCTCCTTCCTACGCCTGCTGACTCTAGTCTTCCTGCTGACGAGTTTGGTGTTGGAGTGGTCGTACACGACGGCTGTTGCCTTAATGTAGGCATCCAAATCCTGAATGGTCTTTTGCAGCATTTTGGTATATACCGGATTGACTGTGAAGAAAGGTGTTAAGATTTACTCACAGAAAGTAAAATCAACTCGAAGATGTCCGTGCACTGGTATTCAATGCCCTACTGCGAACGATTGTATGTGAATCAGCATACACACCCTTTAAGTCAAATGACCTAAACCGAAGCGACTAGTAGTTGGTGCTGTAAGCGTCATGCCGTCATCCTCTCTGAGCAGTGTATGGGTTCAGATCATTGAATACATTCCCATAGGCACCAGTGATAAATACCCTCGCTTCACAAATTCGGAGAAAATACTCAAATATCTTAAAGGTGAATATATGAATAATACACTCTAAGAATAAACAAATAATTGTTCAACATTATTTCTAAATATCGTCATATTTTCTTTGTCTACCGCTGCAGCTTTGTTATTGATTATTTGCAGGTTTAGTCAGGTTTACTGCTAGCTACCTGTCCCCATATTTGAAAGTGCGAATGGGAACCAGACTACAGTGAGTTTGACTTTCCCTCTGATAAATCAAGTATCAAACAAACTCACCAAATCTAATCATTTATCTGAGTTCAGTGCAGAAAATACGCTTTTAGACGCAGTATTAATGCTATGACGACGAACAATACATTTTAGGTATTAGGAAAGATACAAGCCTTTCGATTCCAGTAAATTGTTTGATGCAATTGCAAGTAGGGTTTACATGCATATTCGTTATTCTTTATACCATTGCTAGGTATAAAAATTAGCGTGTTAAATTACAAATGATTTTATGTTGTATTTATTTGATATTTTTTCCATCAACCCCAGTCTATATGGGATATGCCATCACACTCAAGCAAACACACAAACCATACACATGTGACGTGTTATCAACAAGTGTAGCCATCCATTACACCGTACACCTTGCTAGTGTGTGCATGACGAAGCCTTATTCGCAGTGACTGCACCGAACTTTCCATAGAAAAAAAGTTCCAACGGTTAGGGCTGACGATACAAATGATCATTATCAACAGAAATCTACAAGATTGCGTTTATCATACAGTGATTATGGACTGAATCACTCACCTTTATCTCAAACCTTTGTATCGGCAATAGATTCAAATCCTTGTATGTTCTTTGTGTGTATCCAAAGACCAATGCAAAGACCAACTGTTACAAATATTGCGCTGATTTCCAACCAAAATGAAAGGTGTCTGGTAAGAACACGTCATCAGATCAAAATGTATATCTTTGTACTTCCCGATAAACTTATTAAAGTCTGTTCACTGTTTGCATTAACTTTACTTTATTTCGTTTTGGCGAGAAGCTGTGAAAAAATATTGCTTTTTAAAACAGTCGAGAATGGCACTCGTGTACAGGTACGCTTTTGAATAATGCTTATAAATAAATATCATCACTCTCAGGCTATGCTTAGAAGACCAAACAAAACACCATACAGGACTTTGGGAATTTTTTTTTTGCTTACAGCAGCAAGTACTATTTCTTAAAAGTGCGCAGTGAACCCTGACAAGTTCACCCATACTCGAAGCAACAACTGTACAGCACGACTGTGTGTATTGTGAAAGCTGTACACATTTTCACTTTGATTTCCATTACTTCTTTGAAAGTTAAAATACATGTATTTTGATATGTGTCTGAATGAAGCTACTAGGTCAACGTTGAAAATGCAAACAAAATCTCTGCATATTTTTCTCCTTTTCTGTTATATAGAAAACTCAATAGCAGTTTATACTTTGAAATTTTATAACAAATTTTTTTTTTGTGTCTGTTGTGAATTCTCGTAAGATATCTGATGCAAACAGCAGTATGAATTCCTTTTTCCCCAGAGTTCTCCAACCATCACGTGCTGACTTAAGAAACTCAAAGAATGGGCATCATTGACTTCTATTCCCGCGATGAAACATAAGGCTTCTCCGAAGTGGCTCAACTTTACACGATGCAAATGTCAGAAATATTTTATAAACTTTCCCCAAATATTGTCTGTATGATGAATATAGTATTGAAGCCTATTCACAACACAATCTAGACCTTTTGGGGATTTTCTGAAACCACGACCTCGCCACCTGCTGTGGCTTCGGGAAAATTAAAGGCTCATGACTGTCATGGTAAACTCGAGCTTAATTAGTGTGCTCCATTTCGGGAACATCGGAAATCAGTTTGAGATGTCTGAAATCAGCTACTCAGAGACTAGACTGGACGTTGAAGACAACTGGTAGTATTGTCGTAAATTTAATTGGTTCAAAACAGTACTTCGAATTTTTCACTTGTAACTTATAGTGGTGTCAAAGCCTTGGTTGAAAACAGTACTGTGGATTTTGTACCTGTAAACTCACGCATGTAAAGCCACTTTTTAAGTCAAATGAACTTAACCAAAGCCGTCATCCACTCTCAGCAGTGTATGGGTTCAGATCATTGAATGAATTCCCATAGCCACCAGTGATAAATACCCTCGCTTCACAAATTCGGAGAAAATAATCAAATATCTTAAAGGTGATCAAGATATACATTAGATCCATTTACACTCTTTACTTTCTGTTCTTTTGGATTACTTTCGGTCTCCAAAGATGACTGCACCTAAAACCTGCCCTTCTGACCAGAAACTTTTTTTGGGGGGGGGGCTAATAATATTTTATGAAAAAAAAAAAAGAAACAAGATAATGCTATAAAAATGATCAACACTATTTGTTTCTTTAGGTATTCAAAGGTACGATGTTCAATTAGGCTTTCACTCTGATAAATGAAGCACCAAACACACTTACCAAGTCTATCTGAGTAGAGTACAGAGCATAATTATGCTTAGTCGTGGTTTTAAAGTTGCACGACCAAGAATAGTTTTTGAAATACCGACAGTCCGACCCTCGATACTGAACAACCGAAATCTAAACTAGAATCCATTCTCAACAGACCGATATTTAAAAATACAGAGCACTGCAAATCTGGTTCGCTTTCCATACATAATCTGGGGAAATCCCCATTTTGGTTCATATGATTATTCATTATAGTCTGTCATATAATCGCTGGAGAAAAATAGCGTGTTGAAAAGGGTTTTCTTTTTATTTGAATTCATTCGTTTTCACCATCAACCCCTGTCTATACGGGATATAGCAGTCATACACAATCAAACATATAAACCACACACAACCAGACGTGTTTTCAACAGGTTTAGGCTTCCATACTATTGGCACCTCAATTGGCAGTGTGTGTATGATGTAGCCTTAGCAGTGACTGCGCGGCACTTTTCATGGACAAACAAATCCAACAGTTGAGCCTGAAAAGTCAGCTATTCTTATCAGCAAAAAAAACCCACACGGTTGTGTTTATCACACAGTATAGCAGGTGCCATTTCTTAAAAGTGTGCAGTGATCCATAACAAGTTCACGGACGTAACAACAGCTCACTAGATGCTGACTGTGTAAATGCCTATACAATGTTGATTTCCATCTGTACATGGAAAGTTCAACTATACATGTACATGTACAGAATTACGATATGTGTTTGAGGCCGAGTGGTATACGGTTAAAAATGTCTAAACGCTCTTTATGTTTTCTCATCTAGATTGTAACTTACACAACTTATTATCAGTTTGAACTTTTTTTAAAGTCTAAACAAAATTAATTTAGTAGCAACCATTCTCAAAAGTACAAAACAAAAACAAAATGATGACAACCCATTTGAAAGGCAACTTCTTTGTTCATTCTAATATAAAACAAGCCAAAATCAGGTATGGGTAAAAAGTTGTTTAGGTACAATTGATAATTTCTCAATACATACAATAACTCTCAGTGGAAATAAAAAAAACTATGCACTTACTACACTGTGTTCTCTGTTGGTTTTCTCCACTTATTGCTTTCATTTTGGGCTATTGGCAAAATTTTACTTAAAATTAATAAAATCTGAATGAAGAGCAAAACGATCAATTTTGTTTTGTGTTATTCTAATTATATGTTTCAAAATGTTGCAACCAATTTACTTTTGCAATGTCTGATTTGAATCGTTATATTCTCTTAACATCTGATGCAAAAGAAGCAGTTTAGTTTAAATATTTGTTTCCAGAGATCACCAACAATAAATTATGGAATAATACACTCTAAGAATAAGCAAGTAAATTATTGTTCAACATTTTTTCTAGAAATCGTTATATTTTCTTTGTCTAACGCTGCAGCTTTGTTATTGATTATTTGTGTATTTATGTATTTTATTGCTGTGCGCATTTCAAATTATGACTGCAGTAACAATGTTCTTGAAAGAAAAATGAGAAAAGACAAAATAATGCCGAAAAGTGAGACGGTGAATTTAGACTGTCCCCCCCCCCCTCCTAAAAATATGGTGACCGGTAGCTAGCTCCCATTTGAAGCCATTGATTGGATCACCTTTGCGCACGCATCATGGTTGTTTATTGTTTTTTGAATCGCTGCTTAGCTTTGTGCATGGACGGTGATTGAACACACAATATCAAAAAAAAAAATCGCTCTCGTCTTACCACAAAGAAGTACGCAAAATCGTCAGTGTCTCCATTAAGGCAACTTTCAAGCATTACAACTGCATAGGTTTTAAATACTGAACGGTAATTTTTCTCTCTTTATTGCAATTTGTCAGAGACACTTTGAATTCAGCAAAAAGACTGAAGCTCATCACCTCGGAAATTGTACGTTTGTGGCGCGGCCCATTCCCATTTTGCCAGGATGGTTGCGCGCAACAAGTTGTGATATTGAATTCACGAGGCGGGATTCAGACCTATGCACGTCATGCATATAATTTGCATACGTCAGGAGGAATGCCTCCTGATGTAGTCAGGTTTACAGCTATAGCTACCTGACCCCATATTTTAAAGAGCGAATGGGAACCAAGTATCAAACAAACTCACCAAATCTAATCATTTATCTGAGTTCAGTGCAGAAAATACGCTTTTTAGACGCAGTATTAATGCTATGACGACGAACAATACATTTTAGGTATTAAAAAAGATACAAGTTTCGATTCCAGTAAATTGTTTGATGCAATTACAAATAGGGTTTACATGAATAT